TCTCTCTCTCTCACACACACTGTAAGAGGCGTTCAGTGTGTGCAGTAATCTAATTTAAAGTCCTTTCACACTGAACGTGTGTGTGTGTATGTGTGTGTGTGTGTGTTAACAGCGACATGCAGCTGATTAGCCAGAGGTGCTAATTAGCGAGGAGGAGCTAACGTCGCTAACACGGCTTCACATCTGGTCCACAGCTGGAGGAGGAAAGTCGTCTCAGAGGAGCAATAAGAGAAACGATCACAAGGAGTTCAGGAGAGACTCTCAGGGGACCGTGGCAACAAGGGAATGGTCACGTGACTATCAGGAGGCTTCTGATTGGTTGTTGGTGTGATCACGTGGTCTCAGGTCCAGACTCACCTTTGAGCAGCAGAGGAGTGAAGGGGATCAGTGGAGGTCTCAGGCTGGTGATCAGGTCTCTGTAGGACTTATGGTTCCTGGACGGGTCCTGCAGGATTAGAAGTACTCAGGTCCTTTACTGCAGTACAAGTACTAATACTGTGAAAATACTCCTCAGTAGTTAAAGTAAAAGTATGCTAGCATTATCAGTAGTTAAAGTAATGATAACCTTCATCTTTATGAACCAGATCAGATCATAAATAAAACATATTTTACTCACCGCGACGCCCTCAAACTGCTGAAACTGCTTCCTGAACTTCCCCGGGAGACCCTGAACACAACACACACACACACACACACACAATAAATGAAATAATGAATTCACATCAACTACAGGAAGTGATCAGCGTATGAACCTGAGACCATGTGATGTAAACAATGTCATACGGTGTGTGTGGAACTGAAGACCTCACTGATGCAGCAATAGGCATCGAGGTACCATTAGCTTACAGTTAGCTTCTCTGTTCTATTAGCTTAGATTTAGCTTCTAGGTTCTTCTGTGTACGTTCTGATCACATCACACCATGGTGGATAAACACAGCAGGTGTGTGTGCTGTCTCCAGGTGAAGTTGAGCAGCGTCAGGTGAGTCGTACCTCCCAGGTGAGTCGCAGTCTGCTGACAGCAGGGTTGTCTAGACCCAGAACCACAGCGAGGAAAGACAGCAAGTCCTGCTGCTGCTTACAGCTGTAACACACACACAGAACACACCTGTTAGGACAGGTAATACACAATACAACCAGATGATGTGATGTGATGTGATGTGAATGAGTCATACGATGGGTTCTCGGTCACTATCGGGACTCACAGTGCTGCGATCTTGATGAACTTGCGGAGCAGTTGGACCCTCTTCGGCAGCGATTGGCACTGCAGGATCTCCGTGGCGACCCAGTGCTGCACCTCGCTGCAGCGCTGCAATACCAGCTCCAGGTTTAGAGGGCGCCAGCGGGACTGCTCCCCGTGAAACACATAACACACGAACTCCACCTGCAGGAGACACCAACGAAGAAGAAGACAAAGAGCTGTTCACTGTGACTGTTGGTTTTTTGAGCCGTGGCTGTGTGGAAGTTCCGTTAACAGTACATTCTGAAATAGTGGCCTTTATTTACAAATAACATCCAACTAACATTAAGCTATGAAGTATTCCAGAAGAAGAGAACTTTTGTAACTAGCCTAGGTTTGGCTTTCTGTACTGAGTCACAGAGAACTTTAAGGAGTCACAGAGAACCTTAAGGAGTCACAGAGTAATATACATAGTTACAGAACAACCAGTTTC